TTGGCCTCAAGCTGCTTTGTAGTGCTTCTGTTTAGGGCAACCTTGTTCAAGGAGTGAGATAAAAAAATACTAAAATAAGCAAGCTTATTCAGCTGCGTTACAGGGAGTGTTGTTGTAGCTCCGTTTCTCAGTCAGACCAGGCTATGCCAGAAGTTTAACGTGCTACGTATCCTGACATGTAAAATCGGTCATCGATGTCTGCGCGTTACTGTGCCAGAGTTGTTGCGGCAATGCTTTTGCTTTTTTCTTGCAGGGACCACAGCAGAATTCTTATTGGGGATGGTCGAGGCAGAGTGTTCAGCTGGTCTGTAAGCGATCAGCCTGGCCGATCTGCAGCTGATCACTGGGTGAAGGACGAGGGGGGAGACAGCTGTTCGGGCTGCGCAGTCCGTTTTTCACTCACTGAGAGGCGACACCATTGCAGGAACTGTGGACAGCTCTTCTGCCAGAAGTAAGACAGCCAACAGCCTCCTTTGGGCTCTTTTCCATATAGAGTTTTAGGCTGGGTAAAGCTGTTGCATGCCACAGAGCTCTGCTGAAAGACTGAGGTTTCCCTACCAAAACAGACCTGATGAATTAAAAACATCAGAACTCTCAAAACATCCAGGGAGGAATTACAAAAGACAGACCAGCCCCTTTAGAAATCCAGGTAGCAAGACAGATATCAGGAGAGAATGAAATCTGCTTGCAGCTTTGAAAGCTGTCACCCATCTGGGAAAAACTCTAGACAAATGAACTTAGTAAAGGAAAAACAAAACAAAACAAAAAACCACAAAGAAACAAAAATACCCAAACAAACTTCCTTTGCAGCAACGAGTTGTTCACGTCAGTCTACAGGTAACCCAGTCAAAATGTAAATTGTGTGCTGGCCTGTGAGGGTGCTGATTTAGGTGCCAGTAGCGTGCAGGCTCAGATAGAAAACTGTGTGACGCAGAGGATGTACGTGAGCTCCCCTTACCCAGGAACTGAGGTGGGAGTCTCTTCTCTGGTCCGCGGGGTCAGAGATGGTATTTCTAGTTTCATCTCCGTAGCTATACTTTGAGTCTAAACTGGTGGCAGCGGCAGTTTTTAAGCTGCCTCTCATGCAGGGTCTTTGATTCTGTGATGATCACGCAAGTTACATTCTGCTTCTGCCGCACTGCGTTGCACTTGTTCATTCGGATAAGTTGGGACAGTTTTGTGAAGTCATTGTGATGGTTTCCACACCTGGATAGGAAATGGCCAGGTCAGGAGAGGACCCCTGTTCACAGCAATGTTTGTTCTCCCCCACAGGTGCAGCAGGTTTCAGTCCGAAATCAAGCGTCTGAAGATTTCGTCACCAGTCAGAGTCTGCCAGAACTGCTTCTACAACCTGCAGCATGAGCGGGGTTCGGAGGAGGGGCCCAGAAATTGAGAGGGTCCTAGCAAACAGAGACCCCATCCAGCCCCGCCGTCACTCCAAGAACTAGTGAGAGTATCGTGCAGTGATCAGAAGGGATTAGAATATTGTCTGTTTACACTTAAGTTTATACTGAGTTTTAAGCACTAAAAGTAAAAAGGGATCATTGAATCGATTGGTGTTGACAGAAGATAAATGAGGCTAACGGCATCATTAAGTGAAGAGCAAGGCCCAGGAAGACATGATTAATAACCACAAGTCCAATAGAACTGTCAACCCCTAAACCTATGTTGACGTGGCTACTGAGAAAATCCTCACTTATCCTAAACACCCGTTCTTGTCTTGTTTTTGTCATCTTTATCGGGGGGAGGGGGAGGGGAAGGCTTTTTAGAAGATAGTTGTAAATCTGCTTTCTTCGCAAGCAACTGTGTATATTGTAAATAGGTATAATGGCCTTTTTATCTAAATATGAACTCAACTGCCTGTTACATGGGACTTCAGATTAACCACTATACTTTGTGTGGCATCTTTAGCTCATCTATCGATTTAAATACGAATGTTTTAAAAAAACAAAAACCAGAAAACTCGGAGGCATTATGCGTATTTCTGTTCAAAATCCAGTCTGTGCATGTTTGTTCTTTCAGTTGCCCACAGTATCTTAATTTAAGTAAGGCTATTCATAAAATTACATGGATTTTTTCAAAAGAAAACATTTTTGAGAATAGGACTTGGAGTATTTTATTCTAGCTGTAAGATAACAAGGAACTAAATTGTACACTTGCGTTGCATTTTATACCAAACTATTTACCACCTCAGTGTTGTTCATATTTAATAAGGCCTCTTTTATACATATGTCAGAGCTGCAGTTTTGTTAATTACTTAATGTTCGTTAGCAGCTGATTCATGCAGTGCAAGAACCAGCTTTTACCTTCTTTAGTCAATAGCAATTGGCTTGCATATAGGTACAGAATGAATTCCTTGTGCATAAAGCTTAACCGCTGATGTCCTGTAGCTTGTTTGCAAAAAAACTTTTGGAACAATAGGCATTGCTCTAAGACAGGGTGATATTAGTCGTGTCAGAAATGCTTCTAAGAGCTACCTTCATGTTTCAGCACACGGCATCAAACTTGAGGACAGCAGTAGATTTCCATTGTGGTTTTTAAGTTCCAATATGAATTTAATTGCAGTATTTTTTTACTCTGTCATTTGTTTTGCACTACATGTGGGATGAAGTAGAGACACTGATAACCACTGGGATTGGAACATGTGCATCGGATAGGCCCGTGGACTTAATTTCTGAATGAGGTCTTGCCAGTGGGTTTTTGGTTGGGCTGGGGGGGAAGGGGAGGGCAGGGGGCAGGCTGGTTTCGGTTTGGTTTTGGTTTTTAACGTATGTGTATATATTTTGTAAATGGGTGACAAACTGATCTAGATCTCAGTATATTCACAGTGGATTATTTTAAGTAGCGGTAAGGATATGACCCAAACCAACAGAAGACAGGTGGCCTTGCGTTTGCTCTGCTAGCACTTCAGTGAGTGTCTTAACTTGAGACGGTGAGATTATCCTTCGCCTGGGATGATTTGAGCGGGCTCTGGCCCTGGGATAGTAACTGGTTAAAACCAGCACTTTCATTGGAATTGCACCATCGAAAACGTCAGACCCTCTGTGGTGGTGTGAGCTCCTCCCAGAAGGTCCTTGGCACGGCAGGGCCACACCTGTCCTCTCTTGGTTTGAGCTTCTAGCGGTGAACAATTTGTTAATCCTGACCACTTACTATTTACCCTGTTATCACATGTTTATGCACTGAAGGTTAAATACGTATTTTGATACATGTTTGTTTCTTATGTATGTGCTGGTCTGTAAAATGAGATATATTCCTGTTTTGGTATGTATACTAGGTCCCCAAATGAACAGAAAGGCTTCTCTAGAGCCCTTGCACACTGTTGAGTAAATGCAGGTTTGTTGAGACTAGCTGACCCAAATAGATCCTTCGGATCCAAAGAGTGATGATCATGTAGCCACGCTGCACGGCTACCCTGACGGATTCATCCCGAAGAGCAAGAAGAGGTCCTCAGTAAGCATGTGCGGAGCGCTGGAATTTCTGTGTTCAGCCGTTCTCTGTAACGTTGCCTTCACCCTTCCCAAAATGATGCGAAACCAGCATAGTTCAGAAGACAGGCTAGTGGCCTTAACGTTTTCAGTTTGAAGAAAAGGCTCTTTTAACAGCTCTTAAATGGCTTTGAGTCCACAGAGTTTTCTTCCCCTTGCCTCCAGTTTTCAAAGCAAAATCAAATTTAAGGAAATCTTCTTTTCTGCGGACTAGAACTTGTACAGCCACATACTTAAACCCTGATAAAAACAAGGTTTATGACAATAACAGTGATATAATCTAAACACTAAAGCAAACAGTTGGCATATAGTACTAATGCGGGGTCATGAAGATAGCAGGCCGTCAGTGAAGAGGTAGCTGGCTGTGCTCAGCTGCGTAAGCACGTTGTACGGGTGGTGCTCCGAGGTTCTGGTGCTTGGCAGCACGCTAAAAAAATCAAGGTCGTTATTCCTTACAAATTCTGTAGTGTAGAGATTGGTCCCAGTTTACATTTTGCGAACTTCACCACAGCCCTCTGACTTAATCCTTCGGTTGCGCTGTTCCAAAACCCACGTTCTTGCTTGTAGGAGGTGGAGGGGAAAAAGCACACCTGCTCGTGTTTCCTCTGGCAGCTGGTGCTGTGGGCAACTGTTTTGTTCACTTGGGAGTGGGGTTTTTTCCATTTCTTTCAAGCTTCTAATGCAAATACTTGCTTTGTTTTCCATGTAAAAAATCTGTTGAGCAAAAATATATTCATGTACACTAACATTAGTAGACTGTGTTCTCTACAAGTACCTCACACGTCTTCTCCTGCCTTGTTCTCTGTAGTATAACTTACTCATGTACTCCTAACATTCGTATGTAGTGTGCAACTGTAATGTCATGCTTATGAGAGGGGGTTGGCTGCCTCCAGCCGACATTCATCAGTCCAATAGCAAAACACTTTAGATAAGTTATTTTGCACTTTCTTATGTATAAAATTGGTAGAAACTTATATTTGCTTTGTATCATTTAAAGACTCCTTTTGTTTCAGTAAATGAACTGTGTATAAAATACTTATGCAGTTAAAACTGTTTTTAGAAAGTATTTTTAATTTCAGCAAGTTTGGTTACTTGTTGCATGACTATTAACACAGCTGACTTTTTGTGTCAGTGCAATGTATATTTTTTTTGTCCTGTTATTAACTTGTAAGCCCTAGTTAAATGGCCATTTATTTGTACAGCATCAGGAGTAAATTGAAGATAACTGGCTAAGACTGGAGTGTGGAATTTTGTACTATATTGCAGAATCCAATATCTGTTTTTTGGTGGTTACGTAAAAGGCCTGACGATTTACTATCTAGTGTGCAATCTGTGATATCTGAATGTTCATTGTATATTTGTCTCCAACGCAAAAAGGTAGAGTAACACAATTACAACAATACATGATTAAATGCAATAGTTCAGGTACTGAAGTATTTTTTTCATTTCAAATAAATACCTGCTATTTACCACCAAAAAGCTGTTTTGCATTTGTTGGAAAGACACAACATTTGCAGCTGAATAAACATTTTTAACGTGGGAATGATAACTAGTGAGTAACATGTTTCTGTATCGTCACGAGGAGTAACTTTCTAGTACTTGTCACAGTTTTGCTTTCTGAATGTGAGTACGGTCACCCACGATGATGCAGTGTGAAATCATGTCTTTGTGTGTTCTTTTTTGCTTTGTAAGTGTCATTGCAGAGTGCAAAGCCAGCAGAATTTGGCAGTGTGTAGCAGAATAGGCTGTACCGATACAGAGAAGGCAGACAGAAAGGAGTGGTTTAAGTCATGCTGGATGAGGACAGTGGAAGAGGAGGAGGTATCAAAATCCAATTGAAATTTTTTCCCCGAGGAGAGAATGACTGCTAGAGCAGAACTTGACCTTATCTGGTGAGAAACAGCCTAAGATCCCCAAATGTTGAAATATTTTACTAATTTCTCAATCCATTTTTGTACCCTTTTCTGAGCTGATAATGCTAAAGAATGTGATTTTTCTTGTTGGCAGTCAGTCACATGCCAACAGTGGTGGCTAACAGGTTTTTTCTAACTGAAAACCAGGCTGTGGTGCAGTTGGGCAGCGATGAGCACCAGAACCAACACTGTGTTCTTGGTACTTGATTTCTTCACTTGTAAAAGTGAAGGAACACCTACTGATGAACTTAACGGTCTGTGCTTACTGCATTTAACTCCTCCTGTGAACTCTTTGGGGTTTTTAGTTACATTTGAACGTGCTCTCAAGCAGCAGTTACAGAAGCAATTTTCATGGCCTTCCTAAGCCATATCTTGGTTATATGGCATTGGTAATGTCCTCTTTTCATGGGTTTCAAGTATTTCTTGCTCGAGGATTTCCATATTTTAAATCTTTCGATACACTTAAAAAAACATGTTTTCTCATTAATATGGGGGAGTTACTGTACTTCTCAGCATACCTGCAGACACTTGACAGCTGCAGCCTGCCGTGCTATCCTGCTGTCACGGACCTGGCCGTGAACGAGCTTCATCGGAGCACTTTGAGCCACTAAACCGCGCTGGCTGCCGCTATTAGGGTCTGGCATCGATGCCCACTCTTTCGGGTGAGACACGCCTTCCTAGCAGTAGCTCCAGGCTGGGCTGTGCAGCTGAGTCATTCAGGATGCAGTATTTCAACCTCATTTTCCCATGGGCAAAAAACGTGTTAGCCACCTTCTTTGACCTGTGCCGTATGAAGATGGCCAACTCGTGCTTAACTGGGTACAGGATTTTGAATGACGCAAAGAACTTGCAATTAGTGTCGCATCCTGCCTACAGGGTGCCCTGCAGGGCCTCGTCTGCGCAGCTTCTGGGGTCTGACGGAGGGCATCGCTCCGCTTTGGGCAGGTGAACCAGCCTCGGGGTCGTTCTGTGGCCCTCGTGTGCCCTCAGCGCCCCAATGCGCAAACGCTCCTCTCCACCTCTGCCAGCCCGTGGCATGTCCAGGAACGCCCCTCCGCAGCTCGCTGGGAAGCCTGCCCTGCTGAAACGAAGAAGAAATTGCCCTTTGAGTTTTCCAAGCAGGCTGTGGAGCCGGAGGCCGAGTGCCATGGCCAGAGCCCGGCAGGCAGGGCTGCACGGCTGCTGCTGGCGCCCCACAGGCGTGGTGCAGAGCAGAGGTGCCTGGAGCAAGCACGGGCGAGTGGTGGGGGCCGCAGTCCCGACAGACCTTTTGACCAGGAAAGTGCGGTTCCATTCCTGCCCCA